GCCTGCTTGGAGAATCTTCATCCTTATTATGTTTTCTGGACAAGCACACATGAATATAGTATGGGACTTTATTATTATTATTATTCCTTTTAGCCCAGCTAGCTCCATTGAGCCTGGTATGTTTGCATGCATCTAGATGCCCTAGGTATTTGTGGAAATGTTCCCAGGAGCATGCTTCTTGAAGCCCACTGCATGCACATCTTGATGAATGTTGATGGTATACTGTTGGGTCAACACCTCACTGGTTCCCCTTCTTTTGACCTAAGATACTCGTGGATAAAGTTTCTATTCTTTTTTTTTTTTTTTTGTTGTTGTTGTTTTGTTTTGTTTTTCGAGACAGGGTTTCTCTGTGTAGCTTTGCACCTTTCCTGGATCTCGCTCTGTAGACCAGGCTGGCCTCAAACTCACAGAGATCCACCTGGCTCTGCTTCCTGAGTGCTGGGATCAAAGGCGTGTGCCTCCACAGCCTGGCAAAGTTTCCATTTTTGACTACACCACATCATTGAACTCTAGCATCTAGCAGTTCTTATCTCAAGTCCCTCCCACCCCCCTTGCCTTTTTCTTTGAGATAGCAATTCTCTGTGGAGCACTGGCTGTCCTGGAACTCACTTTGTAGACTAGGCTGCCCTCGAACTCACAGAGATCCGAAGGCCTCTGCCTCCTGAGATTAAAGGTGTGTGCCACCATGCCTGGTTCAGGTCCCCCTTTAACCTTGCTTTACTGACAGTGGTTTCCGAGCTGGGTGAACCATTGCTATCTCTGGGTTTCAGGGTATACTGAAGATGCCGAAGAGTTTGGTTGATGGGATTTAAAGGGGGAAGACTACTCAGTTGTCAAGAGTCTCTCCTGTGCAACCGTGAGGACTTGAGTTCAGATCCTGGCATCCATGCAATTAGTGGTCTCATGTACACATTGAAAACCCAGTACTGGGGATGACAAAGACAAGAGGATGACTGCAGACTGCCAGCCTAGCTAAAAACTGTGAGTGTCAGTCACAGGGAGAGACCCTGCCTCAAAGGAATAAAGTGGTGAATAATAGAGGACACCCAATACCCTCTTCTGGCCCCCATGTGTACTCACAGGCACACACTTGTACACACAGATCACACACACCCACACATACACAAATAAATAAACATTTAAAAAAGAATCGGCTTAGTCAGATGTGGTGGCATACGTTTTTATTCCAAGTATTTGGATGGCGGAGGCAGGCAGATCCCTGTGAATTCAGGGCTAACCTGGTCTACAAGGCAAGTTCCAGGACAGCCAAAGCTACATGGAGAGACCATGTTTCAAAAAACCAAATAAAAATAAAAAGAGTTGGCTAAAGGCTTACATTTTTATACTTCACTTACTATTAACAAACTAGGAAATCTTGGAAGAGAACAATGTAAAGTTTGCAATCTATAGAACACAACATATAACAGGAATAAAGTTATTTACTTCTATAAGAAATACATCAGCACACTGCGCAATGATTTGGTAAACCATATATGTGGATAAGGCCTTGAAGACAATGCAAAGCAATGCAAAGGTTTAGTCTTTTAGTTGTTTGATATTGCCTACCAAGACAAGGTCTCACTGTGTAGCCTACCTAGGTTAGCCTTGAATATTCTGATCCACCTGCCTCAGCCTACTCAGTGCTGGGATTATAGGCTTGTGCCTGGCAGTCATTTTATAAATATGTTGGGTTTTTTTTACCCCCCAAAACTAGAGGTATTCTCTCAGCACCAATTTGCTTATTGTCCAATACCATAATACTGTAGGAGAATCCTTGGCGAATCTGCTGGACTGAGGAGTCAAGGCTAGCCCCCATCCCACCCACCCCGGGCTTCCCATCTCCGTGCTCCTGGCCATTTCTAATGAGCTCACCTCACCTTTCCTGTGGGAAAACATTACGTAGCTCTTGAGTCTACTTTACTATCATAACTCAGCGAAATATTGAATTTTAGAGTAAAAACTGACCATATTTAACAAATACTGGAAGCCTCCAGTTACTCATAATTATCAAGCTAAGATGGTTTCTTTGGGAGGAAGTCTGTCATAAAAGAAAACAGTGTTTAGGCAATTAGTGGAAATAAAAACTGTCTAAATTACTTGGTATCTCCCTTTATGTCTTCTGGAAATGAGTAAGGGTCCTCACTGGTAGTAAATAGTAATTGCTTTAGTAAGTGAAAAATTTTAAATATAACATACCCTATATTTACAAATGATGCCCTTACCTTCGAACATGAGTATAGTTCTGGAAGGCCTTCAAGTCTGAGGCAGTTCTGGGAAGAGGAGGCTCATTTGGGGCTTTGACACTATACTTTCCAGAGGATCAGGTTAGACTAAAACAAAGTCTTAGGGTTTGTATGTATCTTAGAGCTTATGCTACAAATAGCAGCCACAAAAAATAAGAAGAACCACCCATAATTCTACCATCCTAACACTTAATTGCTTTCATTTTCTTTGTTCACTCTTAGTACTTGATTTAATGCCATTATTTCATGCGACTATAAATACTACATAGTTAAACTGCTGCTTTCTTTTTTCCACGCAACATTATATTATTAACTCTTTTGTCTTGAGGCTATTTTGGTTGCAAGGAACATTTACTCAGTCAAGTCGAATTATCTCAGAATAAAAAGGTAAGGCAGTGTGTGTGTGTGTGTGTGTGTGTGTGTGTGTGTGTGTATGTGCTCTATCTCACCGTGTGTGTCTCTGTGTGTGTATGTCTGTGTGTGTCTGTGTGCATGTGCTCTACCCCCTCACCCCCTGCCGTGTGTATGTATGTGTGCTGTGTGTGTGTGTGTGTGTGTGTGTTTGTGTGTGCAGACATACCTAATCCTGCAGAAATCCAAGGGCAGGAACTAAGGAACTAAGTCAGCCAAGCTTCACAGGAATTGAGCTGGGACATGGAAAAACACCGGCAACTGAAGCTGCTGTGAGGAGCCTGGGGTGAGCGGGAGGTCTCCTCTACACCTGCATCTCTGCTCTGTACTCCCATAACTTCCATTGCCTATCACCAGTCACCATCACTGCCAACTATGAGATCTTACAGCTCTCCAGCATTCCAAACCTCTCGGGTTTTTCCTTATTTATTTTTAGAAGCTGAGAACTGAATCCAGGTCCTTACACTGTACCACTGAGCTCTGCCTCCAGATCTCTGCATGTCTCTTCCATGCAGTTAGTTAGGCTGATCAGACTGTAGACTGGTGGCCTCTAGCTCAGGTAGACATCCCTTGGGTCGGCTGGGTGTGGCTACTGAGGTAGTTACTTGCTCTGCTGCAAGGCCACCAGCAGGGACCTCCCAAATCCCCACACACAGAGCAGCAACTCCCGCGTGACTTTGTAGTTCTCGCATTTTCATGAACACGTGGCTGATATCAAACAGCTGTTCTATAACCCAGGATCCCTTGCTGTCTTAGTATCATCGCTTCCCATCTGGGGCTGACACAAATAAAACCATGAACATTTCTGTACATACATCTTCCCTTTCACCTAAATTATGTCAAATATTCTTAAAACTACGTAGAGATTACATTCTCTGAATACCTCCAGGACATAAGCCATAACTTGCAATATTTTTGTTTTACACGTGCTTATATCCACCAGAGATGTACACTTAGGTAGTTATAGGCCAAGTGATGAGCTGTGATAACTGGGGTTCGCTTTATAAACACTCCAGGGTGGGGGGACAGTGTGTCATAGAATCATCTCTGAACTGTGTCTGAACTGAGACTGGTGATACCTTGACGAAGGTTAGAGCTAATGATGGCTGTGCTGGGCTTAGTGAGTACTGTCGTCTTTATTTTGCTCTGTGTTTCCTACTGGCCTTCCTCCCCCACTCAGGCAGATGTTACCAGGACACTTTTCATTTATTTATTGTGTGTCCATGTTTGTATGTAGGCATGTGCATTCCTCAACGGGTGTGTGGAGGTCAGAGAGCAACTTGCTGGAGTTAGGGCTTTCCTCCTACCAAGGGGGTCCCAGGGATCACACTCAGGTCCGTGATCTTGGTGGCGGGTGCCTTGGCCAGCTGAGCCATCTCACTGGCTACATAATTTAGTTTTTTATCACGAAATAGCAGGTGACCGCAAGCTTAGCCCTCCGAGGAATCACTGTATTCTAGAGTAGCCAAGTGCCTCGGGCGAACAGTGCGGTGCCATGCTCAGGACACCTCAGGCAGTGCTGAGGGAAGCAGCTGACCACACTCAACCCCTTATTATCTTTTTGCTCAGCGGTTTTCAGGCTTTTTGAATTGTGAATTGGAAGCTACATTTTGAGTTTATTTTTTCTTAATTAAACGAGAATTGTATATATTAACACATACCATATGTATTCTACACAAGTGAACTTGCAGAGTGATAAATCTGAGGTCAGTTGATTTTAAAAGTCACGTGGTCAGAACACACACCACCAGGTGGTTCCTGACTTCCTAGGGGAGCCAGGGCATGGGAATGCCCTCGAGGCTTGTAGGCAGACTGTGTAAGCTTGACCCTGTGTCTTGAAGGGGGTGGGATGTTCTCAGATTTCCCATGGTGCCCTCTATCTTGATGTCTCTCTCACAGGGCTGAAGCTTCTGGGGTGGAGGGGCAGGGAACTCTGGATTTTTCAGTGACTGGAATGCAACTGGACCTCAGTAAACACCAACGGGATGAAAGAGAACATTTTGCATCGTTTTTAAAATCTCTTTGTCTTCCCCTCACAGAATCTCCTCGTCTCATAGACCCTTCCAGGACTCTCATTCTTCAGCTCCACTCTGAAGACTTCTCGATGAGAAACTAACTTCAAGGAAGCCTCCAGACAGAAATGAAAGCCTCCTAGGATTCCCTCTAGAAGGGTATCTGCTGTGCAGTGGAACCCTGGATCGGTCAGCAGACTCTGACTTTGCCATCCTTTAAATTAGGACAGTTCAGAGCTGTTTTTCTAAACATAACCGCTGAAGGGTTTCCCACCATCTGCTTCTAATGAATCTCCCACAATAATCCTAACTCAGAATCCGCTCTGAACACAGCTGATCAGCAAAAGGTTTATTACTGGGCTAGCAGCGGCGGCAGTGGGGTGACAGTTTGGGATCTGGCTGGGTTTGGATCAACTTCCCCTGAGGCCCCTCCACGGGCTTCTATAGCCAGACTTTCCCTCTGGTCCTTGTCACAGTCGCTCGGTTTGTCTTCGTGAGGAGCTGGGGTGGAGCCGGGGACGCAAAGCATAGAAGTAAACCCAGAGTGGCTGTCCCTCCCTTTACGGGAATTCAGGGCAGTTCGTTTGATCAGTGCTTATCATCTTTTGGGTGTCGATTCCGTTAGAAATAAGGATATCTTTCAGGTAGGTTACTGTTTCTGGAGGGAGATAAGGGTTTCTTCCCAGGATCCAAACGTAATCCACGTGGAAGAGCCAGATGATGGTGGTACAGGAGTAGACCAGAGCGTAGTTCACGTAATCGGTGATCAGGATCCAGTACGGTGTGGCTGGCGTCACTGAGAACCAGAGGCGGAGCATGAGGAAGGGCCAGGGCAAGGGAAGCCTCCCCTCCGGGGCTCTGGGGACCCACTGAGTCGGTGCATCACGTGGGAAACATGGGGGGTGTGAGAGTTATTAAGTCCACCCTTCTCCAGAGGTCAGAGGACACTTGTGGAGTTAGTTCTCTCTAGCTTTAGGTGGGTTCCAGGGATCAAACTCAGATCCTCAGGCTCAAACGGCAAACACGTTATCCACCGAGCCATGTCACCGGCCACCTCTTAATCTCGAGATAGAATCAATAATCATAAAGCTCAGGCTGACCTATAACTAGCATTCCTCCCGCCTTGGCCTCCTCAGTGCTGGGATTATAGGTGTGTACCACCATGCTTGGTATTTAAAAAGAACACCAACAAAACTTCCCAGTGTGTGGCCATGGTCAGGAACCATTTTCATGTCCTCCCCGCTCTGACAGCATCGTGGAAAAGGCACACAGGATGGACAGCATCGTGGAAAAGGCACACAGGATGGACAGCATCGTGGAAAAGGCACACAGGATGACTGGGGAATCAGACAGCCTCCTTAGGTGACGCTGACGCACAGATACGCATTTAGCAAGGAGGGCCCACGGTTCGAGTCCACGACCCCGCGTGAAGAAGTAGAGGCGAATGTGTTTGGGTTTTCCTTCCTGTATGATCCCAACAAAACCTTCAGCTTTAAGAATGTGAAGCCGGGCCGGGCGTGGTGGCGCACGCCTTTAATCCCAGCACTTGGGAGGCAGAGCCAGGTGGATCTCTGTGAGTTCGAGGCCAGCCTGGTCTACAGAGTGAGTTCCAGGAAAGGCGCAAAGCTACACAGAGAAACCCTGTCTCGAAAAACAAAAACAAAAACAAAAAAAGAAGAATGTGACCTGGTGCCCAGTGGTGGTGGTGGCGGCGGCAGCGGTGGCGGCGCCACCCGCCTTTAAACCCTGTACTCGAGAGGCAGAGGCAGGCGGGGCTTTGTGAGTTCAAGGCCACCCTGGTCTACAGAGCGAGTTCTAGAACAGTCAGGGCTACGAAGAACTTCCTCTCTGACCCACTTTAGGGACTTGACTGGTTGTGGGACTGGGGGATGGGGTGGGAGGTGGAGGGGGGTGTGGCAGGGAGGAGGACGGGGGCGGGGCGGGGGGAGGCGCCGCGGGAAGGAGGGGGGAGGGAGAGTGTCAGTGTCTGCCCTACAGGTAGGGAGAGGGGCCTCCCAAGCGTGTCTGAGCTGAGTTCTCCAGTGTATCTACAGAGACAACAAAACGAACTTCTCTCCCTGCTGCTGTACACCTATCCAAGTTAGACCGGAACTCAGAGAGCAGAACAGAGAGACCAGAGAGCTTCAGGGTCGGGCTCGCCGTCCTCACGCTTGTCGCCTCCTGCCTGCAAGCTTCTGCACAGGGGGATTGTTCTCCTAACATCTGGTGATTTGGGGGCTTCCGTTTCCCATGAGATCAGACTGGATTCCCGTCTCCTACTCACGCCGTGTATGTCTCTCTCTCTCTCTGTGGGCCTCGCCCCCTGGAACGCCGAGGAAGTTTCCTGGCACCTCCTCAGTGTCCACCTGGGATGCCAGCCTGGAAGGACGTGGCCAGCTCTGTCTTGCCCATCACCGCACCCCTGTGCATCCCGGTGCCTAGTCTAGGGAACAGCACACAGTAGGTGTGCATTGAATAATTGTGCATTGACTTGAACCCGGATGACAGCACCCGGAGGCGTGTGAACACAGGGCTCCGGCTTTCTAGCTACACATCTCCGGTCCCTGATGCTCCCTGAGGGAAGTGGATACTTACACTCAAAAAACTTGACTAGGAGCTTGGCTGGCTCCGAGAGGTTGGTGTGTTTGGCTTCCCCTTCGACTTGGTTCATGGTTCCATCGGGTCTACAGCGAGAGAAAAAAAAGAGAGAGAAAAGAAACAAGGAAAGGAAAACAGATACGGGAAAGGAAGGAAAAACTCATTGAAAACCCCAAATCAATGAAAGTCAAGCTTTTTGCCCTAAGGACTCTGGCCACCAGCGGGGTGGTGTCTGGTGTGAGAGGCTCTTTTTTTTTTTTTTTTTTTGGTTTTTTTGAGACAGGGTTTCTCTGTGTAGCTTTGCGCCTGTCCTGGAACTCACTTGGTAGCCCGGGTTGGCCTCGAACTCACAGAGATCCGCCTG